GGTAACATTTTTATTTCTCCTTTTTATGGGCCTGAACTTTCCCTGCTGGTATTTTCAGCAGGTGCTCGGATCCGCTCATCCCACCCTACTATAAATGGCTAGGGACAGTTAGCACAAACTCAAATGTCTGCCCTGGAATTTAAACAACTCTCTGCCCTCACCCAGCAAGCCTGGTGTAAGTCAGACTATGAATTACGGTGCAAAGGGAACTCCGGTTGCTCAGAAGTTCTCAAGAAGTTCTCGGCACCTTGAAGGCCGGGGGAGCCACAGACGGGCACTGACCTGCTATGGAAACCGCCGACTCTCTCTCCTGGTTGCGACTAGCAGGGGGTTCCGGACCCGGCAGGACACTTTCCGGCTGGACCGTTCCGTTAGAACGATGGCAATCTCTGTCCCAAACAGGCCCCCCGCCTCCTGGGAGCTGCTTTCCGAGGCTGATGGCAGGTGCTGCCCCTGCTGATCTCTCCACTCAGCCTGGGGCTTGGGGAACCATCCAGACGATCGACACACCAGCCGGACCCCTCCGTCCTGATGTCCCTCCACCGCGATGTCAGGAACAGAGCCCAGCCCTACAGATGAAATAAAAGAACTTGTGATAATCCCACAGTGCCCAGTGCTCACCCACAGCTTCATCATCCTTCCTGTGTGAGCAAAAGCCATTTCCTGTTCAGCCAAGGACTGACTGTGGGTCAGCGAGTGGGGCTCTTCAAGTTAACCTGGGCAGGTTCTGGTGTGGTAGGGTTCTTCTTAACGCCAGGGCTGTTCTCTGCACACACGTTCCTGTTTTGTTCAAGTGGCTCGGTTCACCCAGCCCAAACCGCTCTCGAATCAAGAAGGACCCAGCTCCGGCAAAGTCCCAGAGCGCAGAAATGCAGGGAAGGAATAGTTCATACCCAGCAGGGCTGGGAGGGGTTGTCAGAGTGTGGGGGGGAGAAGAATAGTTCGTACCCAGCAGGGCTGGGAGGAGTTGTCAGATTGTGGGGGGAGAAGGGGACTGCAGCAGGCAGAAGAAACACAGATGGGGGAGCAGGAATCTGGGGTTATGTGTGTTCAGCTGCAGTGCAAAACAAACAACATGTGCCCGCTTAAAAATTATTGCCACCAGGAATATGCAAAGGTTTCTGTGCCGACTCCAATGCACATCTCTGCTGCGTGCCTCAGTTTCTCATCTGTAAAATGGGGAGAACGAGGTAAAGTTCTCGCTCAACACAGGGACTGCAGCTGTAAAATGGGGAGAATGAGGTAAAGTTCTTGCTCAACACAGGGACTGCAGCCTCAGGGCAGGCGGACACACGCTGCAGTTAAAACCTGTGGGAGACCGCACAAACGACAGCACCTTCCTGTAATCATCCACCGACAAAAAACCTAGTTACCTCCTAGCCACCTTCACTCTATGGTATCTCCTGGTCTGCCACAAGGCTGAGTTCAGCAAATCTCAGCCCTCTGAAATCCAGGAAATCCATAGTGAAGGTTAACACCAAATACCCTTAACTCTGCCCCCTGGAAGCTGGCAATGCCCCCTGGGAATTGGCAGCATGCGCTGCCGCTGCGTCCTCTGGGCTCAGCATAGCTATAATGCAGGAGTGGCCAACCTGTGGCTTGCGAGCCAGATTCAACTCTTTCCTCCTTACATTGCAGCTAGAAATGGTCCCTGGCCCCCAGTTCCCTGTGTTCACTGTGGCAGGGAAGCTGTCAGGTGTGGTGATTCAAAATGGCACCACCATGATGGTGGCAGCTGACGGAAGTCTGATATGGCCAAAAAGTCTTTTCTTTTAAAGGGGCGGTGTCCTTTTTTTTTTTTTCCTCCAGCAAAAATTGTTCCAATATTTTGGTGCAGCTCTTTGCTTTTTTCCCCACTGCTGTTTCGGCTCCCTTCCTTGACTGGGTTGGCCACCCGGGCTGTAATGGCTAACGATTGGAATATCAGAGCCTATTGGCAGAGCGGTTGCCCTGACGGATCAATCATGCCTCATTTCAGCACTAAGCAGTGCAGGTTGTGTTCCTTTCCAGCGGGACTGTCACCAGAGTGGAATCGGACATGACAGTGAGCTCCAATCACTAGGGAAGGGGAAAGTTCAGCCGCAGGCGTGCACAAAGTCACGGTAATAACCACAAGGTGTTAATGTCACCTGACTGCTTAGGGGCTGTTTGTGTGTCTCATTCACCCCCGGCTCAAATGTCAAATTTGGGCCACTAACCCCACCCCAGACTCTGGCAAATCACAGCAGTTTTCAAGACAATCCAAGCATGAGTTGGGGCTTTTGAGAGATTAGGAAACAACGTTACTCACCTGCCACCTCCAGTTCCAATAAAGCATCCTTATAATAGACCTTGGACTGGAAGGAGATTAGGAAACAACGTTACTCACCTGCCACCTCCAGTTCCAATAAAGCTTCCTTATAATAGACCTTGGACTGGAACAAACACTTGTACTGCCCATCGTCGGAGGGCCGGACATCGCGTATTCTCAGGGAAACTTTCCCGTCGGTGATGTTGTCTTTCAAGAGCTCCGTTCTCCCTTGGTACTCCGGCATCTGCTCTCCGATCTGGTCCTGCCCGTCGCGGTACACATGCACGGCTTCAGAGAACCGGGATCGGAACCACCTCACCTCCATGCTCTCGGCACTCATCCGGGGGGAGAGGTGGCAGGACAGGACGGCCTCCCCACCCAGGGAGGCAGCGACGGGGTGCTCAGGTCCCGTCACTGTGAACTGTGCTGGGAAACGGACAAAAAGAAAACTTTTCTGGTTCACTTTGTTACCACTTTTAATCTGCCTTCTGTTTTCCGTGGTGACACGTTTCTTGTTTCCAACCCGGGGCGCGTCATTTCATGTTATGCCTGGCTCTTTGAAGTGACGCAGGAGGCTGTCAGGGCCTGGCTTTTCCTCTGGAGGCCAGAGGAGAAAGGAAATTGAGGAACCCAGCTGCCTGGGTTGCTTACGTAACTGCCAAGAGGCAGACTTGAACCTGGGGCCTCTGGAACTTAGTGCAGGAGGGGGAGCGAAAAGATGGCAAGCTCCTAGCAAAAGCATTATTGTCACTGTAAGGGGTCTGAGTGCCACTAGCTAGGGCAGTACCCCACACCCGCCAGTGTGAGGGTTACAAAAGCACCACAGGGGACACCCCAGGACCCTGTGTTGGTAGCTGGGCCCCCAGCTGTACCCGGGCGTTTCTCTGTGACCTTGGCAGGGCTGAGCAGACGAGGATGGCCATCCAGCAAGGAGGAGGCCGGAGCACCTACCTGGGGCCAGCCTGGGAGCCCACAGCAGGAGGCAGAGCGTGAGGAAGCCGGGCAGCGCGGAGCCAGGGGGGGACGTGGGATCCTTCCCCATCATCGTCGCTGGGCCTGGGGGAACAGGAGCAACAACAAACCAGCGGGCGAGTGAGGGGGAGGCAGCGACAGCTCCTCGGCCGCTTGAATCTCCCGGCCCGGCCCATGGCTCCGTGATG